GTTAGTTCTCAGACAGAAGTCTCAAATATACAGAAGTCGCACTCTAGAGAATCTGTATGTAGTAGACAAAAGACTAGAAGTCATTCTCAACTTACCAATCGCCTCATTTAGTCCATATACACCAGCATCAGTATGTATAACGTCCACAAAGTCCGCGTCTTCCTTGGACAGCCTCAGGTCTATCGGCAGGTTCGAAAAGCAGGGTCCAGCAGGATCAAGCGAGGATATCCTGCCAACACGGTACCCGGTCTGGTTGTAGAACGACTTGCCGGTAAATCCTGCGATGTGACTGCCCAGACTGTGACCTATCAGGTGGATCTTTGAGGGGTCCAGACCAGCTGAAAATAAACAAAATTGATGATGAGGTAACCTGTCCTATTTGTCGAGTACAAATTAAATATGGGCAACAGGTTTTCCTGTTCGATTTGCATGGACGAGGGTGATCTCATTACCATAGTTTCATCTTAAGTACTAATTTTTTATATGATGTTGTAACGATTAATGTTATATAGAGGTATAAGTGTTACTGTACAAATTATGGCAAATAAGCTTTATTTATTATTCATCTCTGAATAATACTTCATGGACGAAAAGGTGTGATGTAATATTATGCTAATTAAAGAAGTAAAGATATTTATTGGAATTGAAAATAGGTGGGTTACTACAAGCAGTGCCGGTATAAACACGTAGCGATGAGCAGCATTTGCTACGAGACCCCTGTTAGAGGGCGGCCTTGTGGGACCAAACACATCTCCACTTGTCTAGTACACTTAGGTATTTTTAAGGGATAAGCCCGCCACAACTTCTCAAAACCGCTGCAACTCCTGTAAGCCAGGATCTACAGTAGATACAACCATGAACACACCGGAACACTGAAGTCCGGCGCGTCCCAGGGACATGAATAACTGTCTTGGTTCCCGCGACGAAGATTCAGAAGATATTATAAGAGGAGAAGAAAAAAACTACACTCCACTTCCCTCGGTGAATTACTGCAGAAGACAGAATGAATTAAGCCTAAAGGCACAAAAAAGAGACTGTACGTACAACTGCGTGAAGCCCAGTCGCCAAGTACCATGGAGAATTTGACTTAAAATAAAACTAAATGGGTCCTATGTTTGAGCTGTTATACTTGCTTGCAATAATATGTACCGCATAAACGCCTAAAGGCATGGAAATTCGTTCTAGATTCCGCAGGTCCGTATAATAAACTAACCCTGACGAAACAATGAAATTATTTAACATAGTGTTACGTTCATTCGTTCATATTGCCAGAGATCACACTCCCAGAGTATTTGATGGTGATAGTACACTTAGGTTACTAACATAAGTTCCAGGGACATTGTATAAGAACGAGGAACTCTCAACAGAATTTACTAAGGCCCCGCGCTTTGTTAATCATCCCCTACTGTTATATTACCTATATCATTTCAATTTCGTTTCATTTATTACCAAATCTACAATACATGCAATAACAATGCTCCCGGCAGACTCGCTCGGAATGACTAATCATCTTCAACGTCTATAACACCATGATATACATACCTACCTATATAATGTAATGATTAACAAAGCACCAGTTTCTTCCACGTGCTTCGATTGCGTGCTTGCAATAATTATATTACAGGTAAATACGTAGGTACCTATAAGTCGTAACAATATCTCATCTGACAGTTATTTCTATGATTAGGTTGATACAAAGTTAGTCGATGTTTACTTTACTCAATCGACGATTTTGTAACAGTAACTGCTAATAATAAAGATATCTTTTTTTTAAAGGGACAAGCTCGCCACAACCTCCCAGAACCGCTGCAACTCCTACAGGAGTTGTGATATTGTGATGATGTTGTGATGATACTGATAGATACAACCATGAAAACACCGGAACACTGAAGTCCGGCGCGTCCCAGGGACATGAGTAATAAAGATGTCTATAAAACTCTACTGTTGCTAGTAATCTGTTTCAAAAACAAACAAGATAAAGCATAGACAGAAAGATAAAATAATTTTAGCATATATGTACATATACCTGGAGCGAATTGAGCATTAGGAGAGGATACCGAAAATTAAAAATAAATTGCTTTTATGCTATTTACCGACCCTTATATGTAGATTATAGTTACTTATGTCACCGAAATTGAGATCCGAGGTATTGTAAAATGGGATGGATAGTGATAGAGAGGTGAATAGAGAAAGAAGAGGAGTGAGTCTTAAGCCTTTTTCAACCAATTTGGTGTAGGCCTCCTTCAAATCTTTCCACTTACTTCTATTTTGGGATGTTAGTATCAAATCTCGTCCCGCCACCTCTTTGATGTTATCTTTCCGTCTCATCAGCGGTCTACCTAAAGGTCGTTTCTGTTCTCACGGTCTCCACTCCAGCAGATGAGTGAATAGATATATTGGGAAATTCTTCATAGTAACGGCTCACCCCTCTTCTGTCCCTATTCACCTCTCGATACCTATTCGCTCTATTTTCCTACTACTGCGTCTGCATTCTTTATAATAAAATATCTTTATTAAGAATTATGGAAAAGTCAACTCACCAGGTACTAACGCGGACAGTACGGAGCCGAGCCTCTCTCCAATGAACCGCACCATGACGGTAGACCGCAGGTAGAACCAGCGGATCAGCGAGCTGGCGTCCAGAGCCAAGATGTTCACGTCATCTGCAAAGATTAATTGTTATTGTTAATAATTATAAATGTTGATAATAATAATTATAAATGTTATTTGTAAGGGAATTTATTTTGGAACCAGAGTTTTTGTCGTCGCACCGTCAGTTTCGTTCATAAATAGTAGAAAAATGTAAAAATCGAATACCCAATAAGAATATTTTTCAAGCAGTTGTACTTAATGCCACTGTTTATAGAGGATGTTATTATAAACTTACTTTCTTCAAGGAAGGCCTTGCTGATGGTCTGGTAGCTGGACTTGGAAGGGTCATCCGTGAAGCCGTGCAGGAAGATCCTGAACGGTAGCTCAGGGTTGAACCACCGCTCCAGGGGGATTTCTTCGGGAGCTAGGGTTAAATTGTAGATGACAGTTTTAGCCCTGGAAAGATAGATCGTCTGATAAATGACCCAGTAAATCGTGGCATAATTTCGTGGACGAGATTCCTCTGGCAAACCCCTACGGTGTAATGGAGGCTCATGAGAAAATCTATCTATATGAAATTTGGGTTATCCCTTACCTGGTAATGAAAACCAGAGTGAGCTGGCTTAGATCTGGTCCGGAGTCCGCGTAGTTGTTATATGTTACTCCGATCAGCTTCTGCACGTTCGAACCTGGGGACATTTGGTATTTTTATTACCTGATACGCTGCGTAGCTATGTACGTCGATCGTCGTACCTAGGTCACATCATTAATTTTTTTATATGATGCTTATAATCTTGGAGACCAAAGCCCTCTTTGATAGAGAAGATTCATTCTCCCATTCTCTAGGAGTGGATATTCAATAGCTCTTGATGGTCATGACGATACTTACATTGGCTAGATCCGATGAAGGCGATGGTCTTCCCGAGGGGGTCCGCAATGGCTTGCACCTCATTCTTCGCTCCCTGGGTTACGTCTTTGGCTAAGTCTTTGATGAAGCCGAGTTGTGCAGCCGCCGAAGTCAGCCACAGCGTCGTGAGGAAGGAAGCCAGGTGACCCATGTTCGAGGGTAACTGTGACACCTGCAGTATTTATTCAGAAACACATTTTAGAAGTCGTTGCTCCTGCGCAGTTTCGGATCATTGGTGGTGGAATGAAGCTTTACGGTACAAAAAGTTTATTTTTAATCCAAACCTAACAACTTTGAACAAAATTTCCGACATGCCCTAACTTCTAACGGATGCTATTCCTTGATTTATTTTTTTATTGAAACTAGCCCAATAAACCCTCGTTAGGTACTAAAAATTTAATAATAGAAGATGGAGACGACGGAGAAGATGGTTACAAGGGAGAATTCCTTCATCTTTCATCTCTTAAAGGTAGAATGAATATTTTAAAAAGAATTGAAATTAAATATAATGAATTTATATAAAAAAGTAAACCTCTTCTAAAAAATTCAGGGCTTCGGTTCTCGTTTCAGCAGCGGCCATTTTCCATGTACAAGAAAATTTCACAAAAATGAAAGAGTAATTTAAATGAATATTTCACTAACAATTAAAACTGAACATAACGACTATAAAATTAAGAGTTAACTGGTGTTATCTTTAACTGAAATTACGCTGGTGTTAATTAAAAGGTAATTAAGAAAGGTAATTGTTAATCAACGAGACTTTATGTCAATCATATTGATATTGCAACGAGTACTTAAGTAATTGTTTTATGACACATATACCGTGAAGTGAGTTGAAGGTATTTCTTTACTTTGTTAACCAGCTTCATAAAAAACTTAGAAGGTTCGCAGTATGACCTGTGTGTTGTGTGTGTATATATGTATTGTGCATGATTATCTCGCGATTGCCTGAACCGATTTTGATGCGGTTTTAAGAAAAGTGTTACACTTAGGAAAAGGTTTTAGTATATTAATTAACGGACTTCAAGAAAAAAGGGAGTTGAAGTCGGTTTTTTAAACTTACTTTAGAAAAGGATTATTTTAAAACATTTCAATAATGTGTTCTTTTTCTGCACTAGTTATTACATGATTTTTTCTGCGGAGGTTGAAATAACTATGTAATGGATTACACAACAGGCTCAACCCCTACTACATGGCATACATAACATAAATAGTTAAAAGTGGGTGTTACATTGTACAATGGTATTAGGTGCCGTAAATGTGCACCTCTGCCTACCTCTCCGGCGATAAAAGGCGTGATGTTTTGTATGTGGACTACACATTGACTGGGGAGTAGTATTCTCCGACAATTCCCAACCTTTTTACTAAACTAAGTGTAAGTGTGGGAGAGCCATGCTTCGGCACGCATGAGCCGTCTCGACCGGAGTGATACCACGGCCGAGCAGAAAATTGGATTGTTTCGTCCCCCTAATTATACCCTCTCACCCTCCCTTCCCCAATCTCTCTAATCCATGAATCTCCAACAATCCTCAAACTCCTAATCCTCAAACCCCCAAAAGGCTGATAACGCACTTGTAACGCCTCTGGTGTTCTACCAGGCGATCCATCTGCTCGTTTATTGGATTATCCTATAAAAATACCTGCTGATCTCCAATTCGTCTGTCAAATGTGGAGATTACGCGGTTAATCATCTTAAGATGTCAAGCCCATAAATAGTCCCGCGATGAATTATTACGGACTGTTGGTAGATGCTTTTAATTTTTGTAAATAATTCGATTAACCCTTAACAACCCACAAGTGTCTCGCGGACACAATTTTGCGTTTATGTTTTCATAAAAACTAAAGTTTTTATTTTTATGAATCGGCCTTTTATCTAATTTATCGCCAATGTTTTACGAATCTAAATGTGCAATGAAAATATTTGTAACGTGAATTATTTATTATTTTTGGGCAATAAACGAAAATAGTACTTCATCAACCCAGAAGTGTCCAACAGACACAATATCATTTTATTTGGTTCAAGTGTGAAGGTAGATTGTTTTTATTTACATTTACTTATAATCTTATGGTGTCGGGTGGGCAATAGCGGTTGCTAGAGCTTTGTTTGTGTTATAATCATAGTTTTTGTAATCGTATCACGTATCAGTAATCAGAAACTCTTGTCAAAATGTAGTCATGTTCTAATTCGTTTTTATTGAATGATATGGCTAAACGGCAACTAACACAAAGTGAAATTCAACGTGCTCTTGTTGAAAGTGACGATGAAAACATTTTTGTCCATTAGTGCGATAGTGATGATGAGAATTTAGCTGTTGACAGCTGTTCTGATAATAAAGTAATGTCACAGAACCAGTATCTGAAAACGATGATGAACAATTATGGAATAACAGTGATGATGATTACAAGAATACGTCTCTATTTACACTTATAAAGGAAGAGATAACAACTTGAAAATCAGAACCTAACAGGCAAAACCGAACGCCTCGACACAACGTAATTCGCGGTGGTATCCATAAGGTGATTCTTCCTCCTCCGGGCCAAACTATAATAGATCCGATAGACAGTTTCAGCCATTTTTTCGACGATCACGTATTACAAATAATAGTAAAATATACCAATACTAAAGGGCTTAGAATTTAACAAAATCGATGGAAATAAAATCAGACAATAACGACATCAAACCGATATAAAATCGAAATGCAAGTACTCCGAGGTCTTTTATTGATTATAAGCGTCAATAAACAGGGAGGTATAGATTTTAGAGAATACTGGTGCCATGTCTTTGGCAATCCAATATATGAAGCTACAATGGAAAAAGGAAGAAGCATTGTTATATTTACCCTTCGAAATTATCAAGGGCTTCTAAACAGTGTTGTACTGAATGCAAATGCAATACATGCACTGAATATTCTGGAAAAAAATAATTGTAATATCTATAAGTAAATAAGTGTAAATACACATCACTGAAATACATTATACTGACTTTTTCATTCAAAATATCTTTTTTTTCTTTCATTATACCTTACATTTATAAAATGAGTCTGTTGGACACTACTGGTCAGTTACGTCACAAAAGCATTCTGGATAGTTAAGGGTTAATATGCTAAAACAATCGATAATTATGCTGCAAAACGTCAATAACTAAAAGCAAATATTATAATTTTATCAGACAAAACCCCGCGCATGTGCAAACAATCACTGAAATGTAATGTTTAAATATTTACAAATTAAACAACTATTATGTAAGTACATTGGGGATATAATACCGTTATCAATTTTATCATTGACGCATGTATTATTTATTATATAACTGATTATTTTTTTCACACAACGCAACATAGCTCTTGTTAGACCTCGTCGAAGTGGTAGGCAAAAGTACCTATAATAATTTATGTAGATGCATTTCTTAAACTATTATTGCTATCATTGAAATATATTTTAATTATTCAAAATTAACACTTCCTAACACATTCACACCCAATGTAATAGTGTTGTCACATTGTACAGAATGCTTAAAATTATTAAATGTCTAGACCACTCAACCTAAGACAGGTTAGCATTAACGCATGTACTAAATATTAGGTAAATAATTAGTCTAATTGTCGTGGTGGCCCGCAAGTGGGTTGTTCGCACCGCAGGTTCAAGACGCCCGCTTCTCATGCATGAAGGTGCGGGTTCGAAACCTACCAACTGCAAGTACCAATGCGACTTTTTCTGAGTTATATGTACTTTCTAAGATTATTTAGACACCACTGACAAACAAACGGTGACGGATAACATTGTGAGGTACCTGGGCTTATAATTTCTAATTATAAGTTTGAAATCGTCAACCTGCATTGAGCAAGCGTGGTGATTAATGCTCAAACCTTCTCCGTGTGAGAAGAGGCTTTGCTTAGCAGTGGGCATTTATAGGATGTTGATGATGGTGAATTAGCCTAAAGCTGACTTAGGCTTAAGGATACTTTTAATTCCGATGAAATGCTCTCAATGGATAAAAGGTCATCATATTCTACGCGGAGGATGTCGCGGGCAACGTAAAGTAATAAAAAGTAGTTAAGAGAGATGTATTTCACTGCTGAAGTAAAGTAATAATAAAGAAAATTATAATAATTTAAGTCTGTAGTATGAAGCAGATAATTTTACAAAAAACATCGCAAATAAATAACATCGTCACTATTCTGTGTTAAAAACCTACAGTTAAAAATTCTGCTGATAAAATCACATGCATAACGTAACATCTTTTTATCCCCGAAGACCTACTGCAGAGGTGCACATTCCGGCACTTTTTGCCACTGTACAATGTAACACCCACTTTTCACTATTTATGTTATGACTTATGAGTCCCATGGAATAGGGAGTGAGAGCATGAGCCTATTGCCATATACCAAGCACATTTCCAGACTCCGTGCTACTACTAAGATTTGTTTATAAATAACCCTGTAATACTTGGCCCGACCGGGGAATCGAACCCGAGACTCCTTGTCTGTCAGTCGCACTAGCGACGACTCGGCCCACGAGGCACACACAAAATTTTGTTTTCCAGAAATTGAGCTGTCACTGATCAACCAATCCAATAAAAATATGGATGCTAATAAGTTACTGCGATGCTTAACTTGATAATGAATTGAAGTATTAAGTATTGAGTATGATTTGTTAAGTAAAAGTTAAAGTTTTACGGTAAATATTATTAAAAACGGTGTTTCTTTGTTGTACAACTACATAATATTATTTTATCTGAAATTAGATAGGCCAATAGTATTATTTTTTACATTCTCACCAGTAACTCTCTAGAAGACTAAAAAGAATAAAAATTATATTTAATAACGAATAACTGACCTTTCTGTTTGTTATATATGTAATACCATTTATAATAATATTCCATCATTCGCAGAATTGTACTGTTATCAACATTTTATAATAATTAGAATTATTATTAGTTAAAAATAAGATAAAGACACTGTTTATGTTATCTTGAGACAGATTTTTCTGGAATAGAGTAAGAGTGAAATATTAAAACTACCTATCTATCAAAAAATGTACCTTTTTTTGTAACGAAAATATTTCTATTAATTTAATATATAACAATAAATTACTTAGCATATTGCCCTTTAGCCAATTACCCATCACCCGAAAAAAAAACACAAAAAAATGTTGTTAAAAAAAAAAACTTATTTTTTTTTTTGTTAAAAGAAGTTCGTATATAAAAGTTCGTACTTACGGTAATTTTATGTATGCGTGAGTGGTCACTAGAGCGACCGGCGAGCGCTCCTGAGATACTGGCCGGAAGATACAAAGCCGCGTATATATCTGAAACGGCTATACACCAAAGCTGTGACAGATACCTACATAAATATATATATTAGGTATGTCTGAACACAAACAAGAAACATATTTGCTGCTTATTGTATTATATTATAAATAAAAATGTATTTAACTAGTATCGACTCGCGGTTTAGTTTATTAGATTTTTTTGTTTCCCGACAATTTTTCTGTTCGCAAAAGTATAGTTATGTATGTTTTTCTTATTACTTAGATGAATCTCAGTTATCTGAATATTTTTTTTCTAAGTATAGCATAAGCCGGTAAACGAACAGACGGATCACCTGATGGTAAGCAATCGGCGCCGCCCATGGACACCTGGAACACCAGAGGCGTTACAAGTCCGTTACCAGCCTTTTGGGAATTGGGAATTTGAGGATTGTGGAGGATTCGGGGATTCGGGAGACTAGAGAGGGGTGTAAATGGGCCTCCGGTAACCTCACTCACACGATGAAATACAACGCAAACATTGTTTCACGTCGGTTTTCTGTGAGGTCGTGGTATCACTCCGGTCGAGCCGGGCCATTCGTACCGAAGCATGGCTCTCCCACTTTTTTATTTTCTATTATTATATATTATATATGTGTATTTACCATTCACGGGACCACATGGTCCCTGTCATTTAGGAGGCGTACGAGGGGCCGAAGCCAACTGCGCAGAGGCCCTAGACAACTTTAACCTAATGCAATGGGATTATTATTAAAAGCTTTTTATTGGCTAGTCCCATGTTATATAGAACTCGGTACATGACATAACTGGCATAATTTGGGTGTTATATATTTATCATAAACTAGCGACACACCCCGACTTCGCACGGGTGCAATATGCATGTATTATACATATAAACCCCCCTTAAGAATAACTCTATCAAAATCCGTTGCGTAGTTTCAAAGATCTAAGCATAGGGACAGACAGCCGGCGGATAGCGACTTTGTTTTATACTAGAGGTATGTAGTGATAAAGTTTAAAATTATGGCATCGCCGAGTGTGGAGACTATGACATTATGAAAACGAAAATCATAAGGGTTGTTGATGATAATCATAATTAACATGACACAATGATGATTTAAACTAATAACGTTGAAAAAACGGCGGACAAAGTCTCTTGAAACGACGACTGTGGCACCTGGCTACTATACACTTACACGCAGAACATACACACACATTGACACGAACGACATCTGTCATTTTCATTATCATTACTTCATTACTATTATATAAAGCGGAGTTTGTTTTTTTGTCTGTTTGTTTGAACGCGCTAATCTCCGTAACTACAAGTCTGATTTGAATAATTCATTTTTCGTTGGATAACGTATTTATCGAGGATGGCTATAGGCTATAAAACATCACGCTACGACTAATAGGAGCTGAGTAGAGCGTTTGAAACCGCGCTGAAGTAGCTAGTTTTCATTAAGTCTGGTAATGTGTTAAGATATTACACGAACACACATAAGAAAACTACTGACATTTTTGGCGCTTTAATGATTTTTAAGTGACATTATGTCGCCCTTTTTCAACGTCCTTGATTTAAACAATATATTTATTAATTTCTATCTTATAATTGCGCACATTTAGGTACGGGTTAACAACCTGACTTTACATTAGGTTATTAAACTGCAGGTATACAGACAGAAAGTTTATCTTTTCCCCGTTTAAAAATAAGGTTTAAAGGATAAATATTTTTCCTGTGGAATGGTACCCATCATGCAACGATCGAAATAATGATTGAAGGTATCAATTGGAAAATAATTATGTTCAACCGACAACAGTAGGACAAACAAACTTATCAATATTCATGTTATTAATGTACCTGTACCTATATATTTTATTTGTCAACATTTTTTATTTGTCATTAAGGTCAATAGATGATCATTTTTATGTGTTTCCATCTATTTTCGAAGTCATTTTCCATTATATTCTCAATTAAGGCAAGTTTTTCTATAGTGTTTTATGCAGAAGATACAATAATAGATGTTTTTTTATTCTATTCTCGGATAAAAATGACGAGATGATATTTTTACACAAAGGTGACTATTCGAGATCTTATTTTTATAAATAATAACATATTGTAGCCACATATGTTACAATACAATTGAAGGTAATGAAAGTGAATTATTGAATTTTATTTTCATTGCTCTATTTTTTAACCAAACAACCAGCAAATACCATTATTGTTACATTATTAATATGAAAGAACTTTTTATGGTATAAGCCGGTAAACGAGCAGACGGATCACCTGATGGTAGGCAATCGGCGCGGCGTCGCCAATAGACACTAGGAACACCAGATGCTTTACAAGTGCGTTATCGGTTGTCTTTGGGGGTTTAGGAGTTTGAGGATTGTTGGTCATTTAGGGACTTACGTGATTAGTTAGTAGTCAGCAAACAAATGAACGTCGTGGGGTCCCGGAGTTTAAGACGCCCGCTTCTCATGCATGAGGGTGTGGATTCGAAACTTACGAACGGCAAGTACCAATGTGACTTTTTCCGAGTTACATGTACTTTCTAAGATTATTTAGATACCACGGACAAACGGTGAAAGAAATATCGTGAGGAAACATGGGCTTATAATTTCGGATAATATATTTGAAATCGCCCCCGCATTGAGCAAGCGTGGCGATTAATGCTCAAACCTTCGCCGTGTGAGAAGAGGCTTTTGGCCAGCAGTGGACACTTATAGGCTGTTGATGAAAACAGATGAAGAAATAAATCGATATGCATAATGTAAGTATTAGTTTCTGCCAGCAGCTTCCCCCATTCTTGTGGGATAAAAAGTATTGTAATAAGTATGTGTAACGCGGCAATTCGATTTTGGTTTGTGTCGGACGCACGCGCGCTACTCTAGTGGAAACATGCCACCTCTCTATTCCTCTTCCCCCGCTTCCCCGCCACTGACCGCTCGACGCTTGCGAGGACGCGAGAGAACAACGAGTCCCGCGCCGGAGCCGTGACGCACGCGCTCCGTACTTGTGCCGCGAATATTTTCTGAGTTTTGTATTATTGTGCAACTTTGTTTATATTTAGTTTATTCCAATATACAATTTACAGTCATTCGTGTGTCGAACTTTATTTACGCCCCTGAGAACGCCACCAAGAATATCTTCAAGTACCTATTACAGTGACGCCCAACTTGCGGCCACGAACGAACTGTGCATAAAAACTCAAAGTTACGACAAGTTCTAGTGTTCCTATCGTGCAAACACACATTGTGATCCCTCTCCGATAGTGCAATCACACGAAAACTATCGTAAAACCAGTGCAAATACAAAAGTGAAAACACTTGGGCGAGTCCATTTTCCGCGTGCCGCCGGTTGCGTCTGTAGGTATATACCTAATGACTCGTTGAAACTACCATCCTCTAAATCATCACCCGTGCTCTTCGAGCGAGGAACAGTTGGAATTGCCTGTTATCATGCCGCCGAAGAGAAGAACTGGAAGAGATGAGGGATCGGATACCGACACAGATGTCGAGATGAACAGAACCGTGATTTCGTCCCCGAATATTACAATGTCGGAGGATATGCTAAATACCCTTGTCTCTAACATCACTAGGAGTCAAGTGGAAGCAAACAGAGTTCTGATTGAGAGTATTTTGGCGGGAAACAAAAACCCGTTGATTTCGTCATCGCCGCGCGCCGAAGCCGCCGACGCACACACGCATGCGCCGCGCGCAGGAAACTTCGCGAAATGCACGGCGCGATTTAACGGATCATCGAGGAACGCGGATGAGCTCGAAGCATTTATCGAGGCCATCGAAGTCTACCGCGACTGCACCAACGTCAGCGACGAGCACGCGCTGCGCGGCCTGCCGATGCTGCTGGTGGGCGAGGCCGCCGTCTGGTGGCAAGGAGTGAAGCCGTCGGTCACGTCGTGGACCGACGCCCTACAACGACTTCGAGGGATGTTTGGAGTGCCGCGACCCGGTTATAAAATACTCCGAGACATTTTCGCTACCGAACAAAATAGTGAACGGGCCGACGTATTTATTTGTAAAGTGCGCGCTTTATTATCAAAATTACCGTACGTAGTACCGGAGGTAATGAAGTTGGACATTGTATACGGGTTGTTAGATCGTAGGATTAGAAAACGCGTGTGTCGTGATTCCTTCGATGGGCTGGAGCAACTCATCACCAAAGTCAGGTTAGTCGAGGAGTCACTGGCGGAGGTAAGTTCCCCCATTCTTAATAATAATACGAGTTCTGTTGACTCGTGCGCCGCGCGTGACCGTTCTGACACAAACCCGAGTCCTACCCTTTCGAATACCGTCGCCGAACCCGTAAGGTCGAAATCGTCATGTAGCGCGAGTTCTTTAGTAAGTTTACGTGATGCGGCCGTGATAGGTCAGGCCTCCACGTCTAATGTAAGGAATAATAGTAACGTACGAAAACGTACGCGACCGAAATGTAGTTATTGTAAACTTTTCGGCCATTCAGTTGATAACTGTCGTAATAAGAAGGAAGATACTTCTAGTAGTAATAATAACACTCAGCTACGTTGCTACGGATGTGGCCAGCTGGGAGTAGTGCGCTCAAAATGCGATAAATGTAAAAGTACAGCGGACTCTAGCAAAGTAGACTTTTGCAGTACTTATATTGTAGGCGTGAGCGATGATGATTCGCAACCGCTGATAGGTATTGAAGTCGTTGACCGTAAGGGTGTGGCCATACTGGACACGGGGGCCACTCATTCTATCGCGAGCCCTACGCTGCACGCTTTGCTCGTTAATGCTGGCGTGACGTTTAGGACGGTCGTACGTACCGTAGGTCTTGCTGACGGGTCTCAGCAGAAATGTACCGCGCTTGAGTGTGACGTCGACGTCACATTAGGAAAACGCGTGATACCCACTACGTTTATGGTGTTACCGAATGCACAAACGAGGACGCTGTTAGGTAGGAATTTCATTACGAAAGCGAATATCCTGTTGGATTTACCACAGTGCAGCTGGCGTTTTAACGACGAGTCT